TCCATTTTTAGAGGGAGAGAATCCCAGAAGCGAGACTCCATCGAACACAGCAGCGAATTCGAATTCTAACACTGGTAACACGACACCAACTTCACAAACTGCCACGATACCCACGACAAATACCACCGCGGGTCCAGACGAAGAGGAAGCTGAACCTCCGGCTGTGGTTGTTTATTTGATAGAACCTTTCTCGCTGGGTAGCCCTGAAGACCCTGACCGTCGAAGACTTGCAATTTTAGCTTTATTACGCGCATATTCGGCAGCAGTTAATAGCATGCCTGAGAATGTTAGATCCAACATCAACGTCCAGGTAAAATTTGATTTAACATTTCCTATGTTGGTTGCTTCTGTGAGCAACAAGTTTACTAGGTCTGCTCTAAACTTAACGAATTACCTAACGGTACGTTTTCCTCCGCAGTTAATCTCATTGGAAAGTATAATGGAGTTGGGACGAGCTCGAGAAAGGCGAAGGATTCAAGACGAGATGAGAGCCTTAGCGTTAAATGTGTTTCTACAGGGCCGCCGATTATTAAATCACAACTCAACGGTAAAAAGTCTCACTGGCTTTGGTACTGCCGCCGCTGCAGATCTTTTTCTTAAGAGTAAAGATGTAAGGCTCTATTCGTTTTCTATTTCTCGTGTTCGATAGGGCCATTTGAATTAAATCGACCATGTTGTTTGTTACGATAAAAGTAGCAAACAATGAACAACCTACGAATCAATCCTTTCCAGTCCCGTAGTAATTAAATTGCAACTGTACGATAGGAACGGAACAAAGCCCCCTACCGATTGTACGCGCCAGCTTACGTCCTGGCACCTCTGAGGGCGAAGAGCGAGGCACCTGAGTCTTTTGGCATCGCTGGACCAGAGGAATGCGCGGTTCTTTATCTGAGCTATTGCCTCAGCGAGGACCAATCCTGGCTGCTCGCAGTTGCAACTGACGACAGGGGTGAGATATTCGAGACGGCCACCATCAACATCGACATACCCAACAGAAAGAGGAGGAAACGTGCTTCTGCTAGACGAATCGGACTTCAGAAATTGATGGACTTCATACTTAGTGTAATGTCTCAAGGTGTAAGTATCACGGTACCTATAGATAAGTCCTGCAATGCTTTTAGATAGGAAATTAGAACGTTCTAAGTTAACCTGAGAAATGATAACGACTTGTAGTAAAAAGGAACTGGTTCGTCCGCAGGTACAACCCTGGAGATTAGTAGTAGGTCGCGTGGGACGCATAGGCCACGGCGAGTTGAAGGGCTGGAGCTGGTTACTGTCGAGGAAAGCGCTCTTGAAAGCTTCGAAACACCTAAAAGAAATATGTGGCCAGTGCAGTCTCCTCTATCCGTCAGCGGCACCCTGCGTGCTAAGCGCCTGTTTAGTTTCTCTTGAACCAGACTCGAGTCTCAGGCTGATGGCCGACCAGTTCACACCCGACGAGAGATTCAGTCAGGCGTCGGTAAACTGCCAATTATCTACACCACAGGATGTCACGTGCACTCACATTCTCGTCTTTCCTACATCTGCTACCACTCAGGTAAGTTTGTGCAAGCTCAATCTTGAAGGGCGCGACGGAACTACAAGCCTGCTGCTGGTTTACCAGTGACGAAACCCTGCAAGAGGTTCAACTGGAAGCGTGAACATTCCGAAACTTGAATATTTCAATATTTAGATGGTTTCAGAATTAATTGTAAAAGAAATGCTGATCCTATTCTTTGTTTTGTAATATATTAGGGACCAAACGTGTCGCGATCATAACAAAACTAATTACTTAATTTTTGATATTTTTCGAAAGAATTTTGGTTACTTTCAGTTGTAAGAGATTTTATCGTCAGTTTCTAACGACGATTCATTTTCTGCTACAGTCATCACAGACTGCATTTCAAGAACAACATATTAACGGACCAGAACTAGGGGATGATGAGCTATTTTCCGCTCTAAACGACGACATGCCAGAAGGCATGGAAGGTATGGGCGACTTTAACGATATCTTCAACGTATGGCCAGAGGCTGGGGCTGGTGGAGGACAGAGTCCTGGTGGCAGTCCACATCGTCCCGAGGGATCCCCGTTGGGTGGAGATGGTGGAGGCTCGGGTTTAGGCAATCACGACGGTCCTGGTAGTCCGTTTCCGTGTAGCAACACTCCAAGAGTAAGTCTAAGCTTAAATAACAGGGAATACATGATCGCATATAGCATAAACGGTTAAGTATTACTTGGCTAACTTTTACTTAAAACTTGTTTTTGAAATTGTTAATCGTTAGGTAACAGTTGCTGAACAGATAGAGGAAGTCGGAACGCTGCTGCAGCAACCACTCGCTCTTGGTTATTTAGTATCTACCGCACCAACAGGACGCATGCCACCGTGGTTTTGGTCAGCTTGTCCCCATCTCGAAGGCGTTTGCCCAGTGTTCTTAAAGAATGCCTTACACTTGCATAGTCCAGCAATACAGCAGAACAGCGATGATCTGTTGCAACAACAGAGCGCGCTAACTGCTCATCCACTAGACTCGCAATATACCACCGATGTGCTCAGGTTTATATTATTAATTGTCTTCTTCTTATATTACTACAATCTCCAGATTAATTCTACTGGAAACTATAGACTGAGCAAGTATGTATATGTGACTGCTTTCGATATAATCAATTACGTTTCTACATTTTTGCAGATATGTGCTGGAGGGGTACAACGCGTTATCGTGGCTCGCGGTGGACGCGAACACGAAGGATCGGTTATCCTGCTTGCCAGTGCACGTGCAAGCGCTCATGCAGCTCTACCATGCAGCGGCAGCTCTCGTCTGACCCACACCCTCTCCCTTCGTAGTGCAGTATATGCACCTCTCTCACGCACTCATTAACCGTACCGTCACTTGGGGCTTTACGAGAGCAACTGGTTTCCTACATCCGTCTTCAACTGTACGTTAGTGACTGAGATTCTCCGGATAACTGGGAGAGAACGAACCTTCGTCCAATCGTCGATGAATCCCTTGACGTGAAACCACCGAGATCTTTTTTCCTGCTCGGTATTTTTTTTTTCTTTTTTATAGATACGATACAGCGAGACGAGTCACGGGCCGCGACGATAGCATAGACTCGATAATTATCGAAGCACGGTAATTCTTTTCGATGTTCTTCTATTCCTGTAATTCGTGAAAGCAAAGAAAAAGAAAGAAAGTAAGCGAATTGTGCTTTGCGTTTTACCAGTAATCGCGACGAAAATGAAAGAGAACACGAGAAAAGAAACTACTAATTAACGACCATGCATTGCCGCATACCAAATGGAGTCTGATGTATGAAAGTTGGAATGAGATTGAAAGAACGAATGAAAATCTGATAGAATGAAAGGAGAAAAAGAACTGAGAGCAGAAAACGAGAGAGAGAAAGAGAGAGAGAGTGAGGAAAAGAAAGAGTGTGTATAAGCGGAAAAGAAGGGGAAACAAAAGAGAGCGCGTTAAAAGAAGCTAAACTTTCAATTGCCTCTCTGTCGATAGATAGTTCAATTACAAATCAGAATCTCTAGAAAATTACGAACCAAAACGTTTTTAATTGTAAATTGAATTTTGTACAAAGCTTTTATTATTAATAACGACGAAGTAATATAAATGATATTACGTTGTTTTTTAATTTTATATAGATGATATAAATGAAAAAAAAACGAGAACGGAAAGGGAGGCGACAATTCTTTTTTACAAGTGTAATGCCTCGTACAAGCCCCTGGTGTGAGATAATGTATGACAATTACATGATTATTATATTATGCTCGCGCGGCACTGGGTCACTGTTATCATGTTTCCTGGACCCGTTAGCGCAAATTTTTCGATGCTGTTTGACAAATTTTATTCAAATTAGGTGACCTTCTATATATTATACATACATTAATAGTGTAAAATATTGTTTTTAAATAATTTATGAAATGAGAGACATCGCCGAGATATTAGATAATTGAGAATGAACGGAGGGAGCGAGAGAGTTAAAAAGAGAATGAGAGAGAAGAGCACAGTGAGGTTTGTTCCCTGCAACTTAGAAAAAAAAAGAACGATTTAACATACAAACAAATGAGCAAGCGAATGAAACGAAAAAAAAATATATAAGGAAAAAAAATAAAAAGACAAGAGAAGAGAATACAGGGCGCGTCTGAATGAAAAGCCAATTGGTGGCTAGTGGGCGTCAGTCGCATAGTACAAATATGACTTGTACATAGCAACCCTTAATCCTCTCCCCCTTATAAAGTTAATTGGTTAATTTACTCACACACCACACTCACACTGTATCTATAGTATTTATTATCTGGGTAGAAAATCATTATTGGGATTATTATTATTAATTATTATTATTACCATTATTATATTAATATTACGAAATACAGTTTTATGTGTATATATAATTATATACCTCATTTCGCACGAAACACGCGCGTATTACGGTTTTGATGTTGCAAGCATAATGGAAACACAATGGCGTTTTCATTTTTTTCTACGAAAAATTCGTCTAGAATCGCTCCTGCTGCTTGGAAAATCTCATAGAAAAAGTGCGCTCTTGTACGGAGATCAAAGAATACAAATTATCGGAAAACGATCGTAAAATCAAAGTATCAGGCAATTTTATTTTCTTATTTCTTTCCTTCCGGGAAGATCTATTACTTTTAAGGAAAATTCGAAAATTTTCTAATAAAATAAATGAATTATTACGGTTTTTCGCTTTTTTTTTTTAAAGCTAAATCTTTGGAAAACGCATTTAAAGAAATGCTTTTACGTACCCTACGAAGTAATTGTTAATGACTGAACATTATTTATGTAATACATACTGCATTATTTCTCGCTCTATAAATTCAGAGATCATCAAAGTTAATTAGTACAAAGGATAACATCCACAGCATTTCTGATATGCTTGTAACATTTATAGCGTACACCCCATGTCTTATAAATTTCTCATAATTATTTATGGGTATGTATAAACGTATCTCGTTTAATATACAGAATAGTTCGTAATATATATCGAGGTATTCTCTATATGAAATGTTTTATATTTCGGTAAATAAATTTAATGTTTAATTCGTTGGCCTGAATAGACTAGCATTGTACAATGAAAACATCAAAAAGTGTAAAGAATTATTATTGGTGCTTATAGATAGCGATGGGCGTTTTAAGTAACTTTATATCTTATCGCATGGAAAATTTGTTTAATGTAGGTGTACTAATACTGTTTCGAGTTTTGCAAATATTTTAGTTTCGATGAAACCATCGAATGTCTGATAACGCTTTAAACTTGCAGAAATTCGCCCATCGTCGCTCACAGTGTTACAATTAAAAAGGTATATAGACTAGTATTCAATCGATACAGTAGTCGATTTATCAATAGTAAGTTTCTCCACGGCATGCGTGATGCCGTACGGCCTTAAGTGGTAAATTAAGTATTCAAGAACGTACATCATATTAGGCGACACGTAATGAAACGATACCGCGCTATCGGAGCAACAATTGAGGCCATCTTTGGTATCGTAGTAAATGTAATTCCAGTACCAGAAATTCTTGTCCACGTGGTTGGGAATTAAGTGATGTTCTGGCACGAAAGGGAAGAATCTACCGCGACCGTAAGGATCGCGAGTGTCCATGGCTTTGACTCCGACCTTCTCCAGGCACTTGCCCATTTCCACGTCTTCGGCGCCTCCACTGTCCGAACGACACTTGTCCTTGTCATGGAGAGCATCTTCTACGAATTTTCGCAAAGCCTCCTTGCTAAGCACATATCCTGCCCCTCCACTCATGTATCCTTGCTTCACGAACGGTTTGAATCTACAGCCGAAGTACAGAGGCGAACTTGGACTATAAGACAACAGCATGTACCGTAGATTCTCGACCACTACGTACCTGAAAGTAGCGCAATGAATTAGTCACTTGTCAATTTTAATCATTCAAACAGAAAATAACAAATTTTAGACTGTACTAACGTATCGTCGTCAGCTTTCAGAAACCAGTCAGCTTCATCTTTGTACTTTTCGTAAGCATACTTAAATGCTTCTTTGGTTTTTGCCCATAGGTTGTCCCTTCCTTCTTTTACTGGCAGAACAACTGTAGGTAAATTTGCATCTAGAAAAAAAAAGATTAGCCATATTTTAGATGTGTTTATAATATTCATTTCTGATTAGATATTCCTCTTTCCATTTATCTTCATGGCTAAGAAAATTTACCTTCAGCAGAGCTCATAAATAAAAGGATATTGCAGCGTTTGCCCCATGTTGCTTTCACATGTTGAGCTTTACTTTGATGATTCTTTGGACCAGTCATGATCCAGCAAAGAACGCGCACTTTCTTTGCGATATCTTGTGCAACTCTGTCCTCGTCTTTATGGAAATCTTCATCTCTGCCATGGAATTTTACCTCTGCCTCTGGTCCAACCTATTATACACAATATTATTAGTTAAACAGAAACAAATTTTAGAAGCTATATAATTAGATACGATGTACTCACTTCTGATTCCAGTTCTGAGTAATGATGCGGGTCTCTGGAGACTATGAAACCACCAGGAAACCAATTAAACATATATGGCACATCTTTTGTAGATGTTATTAAAAGGCATGCTGAGAGAAATCCAAATATCATACCAATGATGAGTGTGAACATGAAATGTTTGCCATTTCTAACACCTATAGGATAAAAATCTCTTATTGGTAAAAATTAGTCTTTTTCATTGGATTTATTAGTTATGGAAGATACAATTAAACAGTAATGTACCATTAAGATTTGGTAGCCTTTGTCGAATCATGATACATGACAGATGCATGTAATTTTAATTAATAAAAAGGACAAGTATTAAAATCAGCATAAGAATTCCATTTCAATCTGTTACAAGCGCAGGGGATTCTAATCAAAGCGCTGTAAGGTAAACATACAAGTTTGTTAATTTATTTAAAAGAAAGCTTATATCAAAGAACACAAAGTTTCTGGACAATTGTACAAATTGCAAGTAAAATGATCAAATGAAAAAGGCACAAAATGGAAAGAAATTGAATATTAGAGATTTAAATGGTAAGATATGAATGATCTTGTGTTTTTTTTTATTGCAACATTATCATAAATGTTACAAGATGTTTGGTAAAATGCAAGGAAATAATATTGTTGAAAAGAAAAATGTATATCTTAATGTTTAATTGTGCAATACCTGAGAATTTCTGTATGCAGAAATCCAAAATAGTCCTGGCCATTCTAAAAGGGTATTCTTCGAGTAAATGAACATAGCTCCTTCCACTATTGGTATTTAGAGATCAAGTGGAATGCTTTACAGAAAACTTCTTATTAATCTTGAGCTCGTGTATCTAAAAATATAGATATAAACATAAATATGATATATAACAAAATTTTGATTAAACTAAATTGCTATGAACTTACATTTCAACATGATATCATGTTTTAACACACTTGTACTTTCATTTCTGATTATGTTCACTGTTTGACAGAAACAAGGAAATTATTCTAACATAGGTATGGTGGAAAATTAACCGACAAGTTTATTTAGGCTTAAAATCTTAATGATTGCTCGTGTAACGCACACTATTCTATGCTCTCATGATAAGTAACTTACTGAGATAGCAGAACTTGTAGATACACCGTTAGAAAATCTTATGTAATTGTTATGTTAATAGACTACGGTTGGAATACGCAAACCAATAGAATAGGAGCATATAGACAATGCAAGGTCACCTATAGCAGCTGTGTTACCGTCAAAACAGAAAAGAATGTACAAGCATGCATTGTTGACAAAGAAAGGACAGTTAAATTATTGGTAGAACAAAAGCATACAGAAAACGAATAGAGAGGTATAAATTGTTAACAAAGTAAATGTTCAGAACTTCAAAGCAATTATGTGTCACCTTAATTTGTATGAAAACACGGATCTCCCCTTTAATTGCATTATCTAAATTAAAATTTTCACAAATTATTCATTTTACAGATACTATTGTTTCATTATGTATAATTCTTTTGAAAACTGTTTTCACAAACAACCTCACACTGTTCTTTACAAGGAAATACCTTCTTATATAGACGTCAAAAATAGTCTAATCTCCATGTGTATCAGGTAATTAGAGACGTTATTGTACAAATTGTTGATTACTGTGGAAGTCGATCTCATTTTTAGCAAAGTATCTGTATACATACATGTATCTGCTAAATTTGCATCCACTAACACGTACGAATTCATGATAACGAACGAGTAAAGTTGCGATAACTGCTGATAACTAAATTTGCTATATTATACGCTTGAATGGAATCCAAGAATTGAAAATTTAATACGAATCATTTCTTGCATTTTTGTACAGATTTATTTACTCTGCTTCACGATTCTAAATATATAATACGAAGTTTCTCGTAAAAATTATTGGTTCCATCACCTCAATATTCTAGTTTCCATAGAACAATTTCAATGGTTTTTTTTTTGGAAATCTTTTTGTCAAATTTATCATAACATATCAAATTTGTAAATAAATATATTATAATTAGAACTATAGCCAATTTTTTCTTTAACTTCGAAATCTGTTGTACATGGAAAATTTTACATTAATCAAAGAATAATCAATAGTTTAACAATTTAGTTTAATATAATAAGTAAACTACTTGACAATTTTTTAATATTTTACTATTTTTACAAATCGATTTGCATGCAAAGTGCATGATGCATGTAGTCATACTTTGACTAAATGTTATGCTACCAACCAAAACCTACCAAAATCCTTTCAATCATTCATCCTTAATTAGAAATTAGTGATGGAGATTCTCAAACTTCAATTTGCATTTGTGACGATCTAATTGATGTAATTGTAGCGTAAATTGAACATGTGTTCATTGCTTTGACTGTAATTAAAGGTCCATTGCAATTGGGGGATAGAATTGTTAGTTATTTTTAAATAAAATGATATTTATTCATTTTCTTCGATCATTTATTACAATCGTAACACTTTTAATGACGAATAATTTTTCCCCTAGAGAGCTCTAATGATTTAGAATGCAATTATCTATGTACATGTGTACTATTTACAATTACCTATTAGATTAATCTTTTGTAGTGCTTCTCAAACTGTAGTAATAAATCTATCATTAAAAGTAATTAAAACTAATGGAATATTCAGTGTTAACGACCACGTTAAAGGAACTCCGAAAATCTTTCAATTTGTTCTTTTTTTATTTTGTCGGTAATTAAAGTGACTTCTAAAAACCTCTAAGCAAAGCAGAGCGATTTCTTCGAAATTTGTCGAAAGCATTAAGCTTGTTCAACAAAGAATCGAATGGAATGAAAATTGACCAACACCATGACTGCTAATTACTATTTTGCAATTGTTGGTCACGCCGACAATCCTTTATTCGAAATAGAATTCAATAATTCTGGAAAGGACTCGAAGGTTATGTTACAATTTCATATTTCAAACGTGCTTTTAATATTTATGTATATTAACCAAGTTTATTTTATTTTAACAGAAGGAAGATTACACGCATTTGAACCAATTCATTGCACACGCTGCATTAGATCTTGTGGATGAACATACATGGAAAACAACAAACATGTATTTGAAAGTCGTGGACAAGTTTAACCAGTGGTTTGTCAGTGCTTTTGTCACTGCGACTCACATTAGATTTGTCATGGTACACGACAGCAAAAATGAGGATGGGATAAAGAATTTTTTCAATGAAATGTACGAAACATATATAAAGGTGAGAAATGTAGTAACAGTTTGCACTTTGTGTTTTGATTTTCTTAGTTTGCAATTGATATCAAGTTTTTGAAGCTTGAATATTCCAAACTTCTTCAAATTTTATTCTTCTTATATAGTAATTGTATTTTTGTCTTTTTTATAGTATTCCATGAATCCATTCTACAAATTAAACACACCTATTAAATCTGTTGGCTTTGAGAAAAAAGCGCAATTATACGGCAGGAAATACTTGTCTTCCTAAGTCTGTTTATTTTAAATTTACAGAGTATAATAGATACTTTACAAACATCACATTGTTATTTATTGCTAGATAATTCTAAATATTTTTGTAATTTTATTTTCACTGTAAATACGACATTATCATTAAAATCTTACGATACTGTATTTAATGGAATTCCCTTACATGGCCATCATTAAATTGTAATAAATATAATCAATTTTTAATTCGTATAACATTAATTATTTAATATAAACATATAAATATATATATTGGCCTTGTATGGGGAAGGTTTACCCATATTATATTTTAATGTAGACTAAATAAAAGTTTTGATTGAATAACAATTTCTGGTATTTATTTTAAACGATCTCTCTTGCTTAATGGATTGACAGAAAGTGTGTTTAAATATTTGAAAGGCAAACAAAATTAAATTATGTTTCACAAAAGACAATCAAATGAATAATATCGAGTATCATCGAGTTAACAGTTAGTTCTTCTTTATCAACGGTCTTCATAAATCTTTTTATCCACGATGATAAGTGCGTCCCCCACACTTGGTGGCCTAGTGGCGCCATCGGCGGCAAAACGCCCAAACTTGTAATGAAGTTAGTTCCAACTGTCGCCGCTAGATGCCGCCACCGCCACCTTTTAATAAATTATTCTTTATTCATTAAAAACGCATCATTACCAAAAGTCTTTCCTTTTTTACACTACAGTATATTAATTATCATGTCAAATTTACCATCTGTATGAATTATAAAGCATCGTAATGAGCTCTCTGAAATCTTCCAGAGCGCATGCGCAGTCAGATGCGTATACATATCAATGAAGCCATTCGCCTTTGCAAATGTATTCTATGATATGATATGACTCTTTGCCGAAATTTTGTATAACCTCAATTTTTTTAAAAGTCTTTTTAGGAAATACAATCAAGTTTAAATGTTATATTTTTATACTGTTCTCGTTGAATAATTTTCGTACCATTCAAATTTTAATTGTGTCTTCGATGTTGGAACTGATCGAACTTGCAGCTTCGTAATAGTTGGAGGTTATGAACGGATTCTGTACATTAATCATACGAAAATATATTTTCGCGTTAAGCGTACGTATGGAGTCAACCATAAATTTACTTTGTCGCGTCGAACAATTTTTTACGACCGCTATATTAACATTGTCCTTTCTTTCTTCTTTTTTTTTTTAGATATATCTATTTTGTGTAGCATACACAACTAAACTTATGTTTTATTATGAAGCGACGTCAAAGGAGACCTGTCTTAGAACTTAATCAAGCGCAAACTGGTTCTCACGGGGAGCATGTACAAAGTAAAGACATACATTTTAATATAATACTTATTGTTAATGTATAATAGTTTAGTGATTGCGTACCATTGGCTGTAGTAACTACGTATTTGTTTCTTCTCATCTTCTAGATAAAAGAAAGCAAGTAACCAGTGATTACTCTGGGCAACATGTGCCTGCAAATCCTTTGGCTAATTTACTTTGTCACTACAATTCGGATAGCGACAACGAAGATGCTAAGAAGGATGTTTGTAAGTTGGATGATCAAGTCAACAATTTCCTTAAGGTAAGTCAATTTTGTGTACACATGAATTTACTTATAAGTAGCTGTACTTTGTAATTTCTTTATAAAATATATGTATTCGCATAATTTGCAGGAAATTCAACTTATTGCCCCCAAGCAACCACTTCCAAACGATTGTAGTAATTCTACCTTAACTCCAAATTCGAATACCCACTCCTCCCCTCATATGAATCAACAAGCAATGAGTAAGTAACAAATGCTGTGCTATTTGTAATTTGTCTACAATATTAAAAAATTCTATTAACATATTTTAATTGTAGTGTGGCGAGAGTGTATAGATGAATCTTCAGGTTATCCTTATTATTGGCACATCGAAACCAATGAGGTAACATGGGAGATACCAGAGGAATTACGCTATTTAAAGAACAACGTTAAATCAAACTCTGTCGTGAAACCACTTCCCATGCAAGAACCGCACTGGGTTGATTTTTCATCTGCAGCATGTAATTGTATTTCCAAAATTTATTGGTTTCTCGATGAATCAAGTTCCCTAGTGAATTGTAGATAATTTTTCTAGATCAACAATCTCATGAAAACATCCCAGAAGGCATGATACCAAGGGAAGTAGTGGTTCGAAATCGTAACAGATACATTTGCAACGAAACCACTCAGAAACGCGAACATCAGGCCGATCAAGACATCGCAAACGCGTCTGATAATGAGTCCGACGATGGGTATGCCGATAAAAACATTAAAGTTCTCTTAATACAATTGCCTTTGATGCAATGTTACCATTCTTGACAAATATAAATGCTTATCTTTATAGAAAAATAGAAATGATAACGTCGTATGGAAGCGACGAAAGCGATTCGGATACCATAGACGAGAATCATTCGAAAAATCGAGTACCTTCAGCGTCTGCAACCGAATCGACAAATGTCAGTTCGATGACGAAACCAAAAAACGTTGAAACATATTCTCCAGCGGCGCCTGCGACACAGCTACAACTGCCAACAGCTTCCCAAAGCTCAGACAAGGACTACGACGACAAGGATACCGTGGAAGGCACAAAGATAGAAGCATCGTTAAATTCTAAATCGATAGAAGAGGCAAAGTACTTAAAAACCCAAGAGTCTGATGAGTACACGAGTAAAGCTAGTTGCGATAATCGAGCGAAGAAATGCAGTAATAAACACAACGTTAACTCCGATTTGGACTTCCGCATCTCCTTGGTGCCTGGCTACGACGAGGACTCCGATGTCGAGGAAGAGTCGGAAGTCAAACAAGAGAGGAAGGCTTTGTTTCCAATTCCTCAAACCGATGTTAACACTGAAACTGCATCTCTTTCGCGGAGGAACATCCAGAACAAGCACAGTATCCTTGATGATGGTCAAGCGATGGACAGTAACGATAGCGATAGCAACGTTGAAAGGAAGATAGTCCAACAGCAGGACAACGAGAGTGCTTCAGAAGGAGTAGACTGCGGAGAAGAACCAAGCGTGAAGCCAGAGGACAAATTAAACAAGTTTCTGGAAAATTTACATGGCCGTAGCAAATGTTTCCAACGAAAGAAACGAATCGCGTTTGATGGTAAGAATGCTGGTATTTGTTAATATGTATCATGAATAGTTGTATCGAAACCTTTGCTTTTCAGTTCCCTTGACGAAGGCTAAGGTGAACGACGATAGCGAGACGAAAACACTGGAGGTGGAGGACCAGCAGGAGGAAGCAAATTCGTGCGACAACACAGAGCGTGATGACGAATCGCGCGTCAACTGTCAGGAAGAACAGAATACACAGGAAGATACGACGGAGAATGTCGATTCGAGGGAAGAGTCGAGCAACATCGAGGAGCTAACGAACACGCCATCGGAGCCACCTGCTGATTCGAAGGAAGACGAAGTAGAAGTGAACCAACTGTCGCAGATCGTACTCGAGAAACTAAAGTTTCTGTCCGAGGGAAAGCCAACTGTGTCCCCTGTTCAAATGATGTTGATACAGTTACAGGTAAATAAATAGATCTTCTTTGTAATTCAACAATTTTCTACTCTGCTTTCCATCATTTCAGACATTGTTTGTTGCGTGGGAAGGAGGTTGCTTAGAAAAAAGTTACTTGTCTAGATGGTTGACTGACACCAGTCACGAACTGGAACGCTTGGAACAAGATGCTGCACCACCTGGATGGCTTTGTCAGTGGGATAGGTATAGTATACCATCTAAAATTTGTGTATTATTTCGTACGAATAAACATGAATCGTTCCATACAAAACATCGTGGTATGTTATACACATCACTATTCTACGAGTCTTCAATCATGTAATCTTTGCACGTAGCATTACAGCGAGAAGCTTAGAAGGTGTCGATAAGCGATAATCTAGGTCTTTTTTATCTGAATTAATTATTAAAGCTGCATTTAATATCAAAGACTCGTTGCAAGTCTTCGTATCATTTCTAACGCGAATAACTTTTATTTTACACCATTTTGAAATTAAAATCAGCCAAATGTTCGACTTTTCACGGACTTAACCAATTTGATTTTATTAATTTCATAGTAAAACAAAAGTCTTTTTAAAATTGATAGGTTTATTAATTAAAATATAGAGTTTGTTTGCGTGGAACTACCGCGTTGTTTGCCTCATATTAAGTCACTACAGATAGGTCTGTGTTCGGAGTGGATCCAGATAACGCGTAAAAATATGAACGAAGAGAATATGGAAGATTCAACAAACATTAAGACACCATTTCACGATTCAAAGTAGGAAGACTAATCAACTATTAGCGAATGCTCCTAAATACCTTGAGAATCGAAGCAAAACTCAAAGGTCAGGAGGCATGAAAACTCGTTTCAGTGTTCTACGAGAAGGCATAAAAATGTTACCAGTGGAAAACGTATACTAGAATTGTTGCAAAGAGCTAAAATTCATACTTGAAAATTTATTTGGAGGAATGTTAAAAATGGAATTAAATCTCACAAGTGGTGCACTAATTATTCGAAGAGACACTTGGAGATTGTGAAGAAGATTATATAAGAAGAGGAATGAAAACCTAAGGAAGCAATTTGAGTTGTGGAACCTGGACTTGGAAGAAGTCATTTCGTTAAAAAGCGTAGAGCTACGATATATGTTTCACGTGTCTTTCTTTTTTTTTTTTTTTTTTTTTTTTATAAATATTTAAGTTCATATCTTAGCATTTCATTTTGTCAATGACCTATCTTTTGACGTTTAATTTGTTGTCGAATGTATTTACGAATAATTGTACAAAGTATGATGAATTCGAGTCGTTCTGTTTCCTCGTCCTTATCGTGTCTTAAAAAAGAAAGTAGTAATAATGAAAACGAAGAGGAATCATCCCTAGAACATTCATAATCAATTCGCTTAATTTCGTTAGCGTAACGGAGACGTTGTCGACGTAAACTCGATGTTCGTGTTGCGGAAGAGAGCGCCTTCTATGTAACCGCTAAGTAACACTTAATCCTTTTGTAATAAAAGGGCCTCCCTGAGTTAATGGCAACGCCGAGTCGCAGGTAGGAGTATTAACTGATTGTTTCCTAGCTAATAAGTTGCTTCAGAACTCGGGAGGACGTTCTTTTCACGGAGAAACGTCCCTCGAAAGTTTGTCTGTCAGTGTAAACATGCAAGTAAGTCCCTCGTCCTCCTCTGCGCGCTACATTCCTCCGTGGGATTTTTTCCAGGTCGCATAAGCGATATTATTACCAGAACACTACCACTGGAATAACGCAGTGGACCTATCCGGACACTGGCATCGCCGGTGGCGCTGAAGAAATGGAGATTTGCTCAACGCCTCCGCCGATAGACCAGGAAGAAATGGTTATTCCTGGTACGATCAATTGAGACACCAAGAAAGTTCTGAGAATACAAGTCTCTATCTCTGTATCTTAAGTTTTTTTTTATTAATGCGGGCTCTCTTTGCAGCAGCAGAAGAGGACGAAGGACTGAAGTCAAAGCCAAAGAAGTCACAGGAGAGCAGCGAACCAGTGGAAGACGCTATGGTTCTGCGGAATTGCGACGTAGAAGCTCCTCCTCCGCCACAGATCTCAAACCCAAGCCCACCACCACCGCCAAGAATATACGCCAATGATTTGAAGAAGGACAGGAGGAAACGAGACAACAGCAATGATATATTGAACAGCAAGAAACAACGTCTGGGAGAAGGTCTTCCTTTGGTTTTCCTTATTATAAATCATTGCTTTTAGTAGAATTATATATTCAACTGAGGTTATCCTGTCTCGCAGAGGGGCCAGTGATAGCAGAGATGAACCAACTGGAGAATCCTTCCATACCTATTCATTCTTCAGCTTCGTTGTCACCCCAAACAACAAATCTTGCGAATGTAACCAACGTAACCAACGTAACAAACGTGGAACCCTTGCCACCAGGCGTAGACCTAACCGAGGCGCCTTACGAGTTACCTGCAACTGCTCTGAAGAGGATTCTGTACAGCGCTGTGCAACCACAGGGCGGGGCACTGTACGAAGCCACCGCGAGGGATCCAACAGTTCCTATTTTAGGTCATCCTGCAGCCCTAGTCCAAGAACATTATCTTCAGTATCCTGCTTACCATCAACACTTACACTCTGTGAGTTTCCAGATGGGACAGTTTCATTAATCCTTGAACTCGCAATCATATAAAAAAAATCAGACCTGATGGGAATATTAAATAGCTTATTCCTTGTAATTTTTTACATAAGAACCTTGGGGTACATCGAAAAAGAAAACTCATCCTTCCTCTCTTTCCTCCCCTCTAACTCATTCCATCGACTCTCTACTCTCATCCTGATGGAAATATTGTATACATTTTGTATTATATACATTGGGTACACAGACAGCGGCCTTAGTACTTCCACACAAGCATGGCGTGCAACCAGCGATTCAACTGATACCAGATTACACACCCTTGTACACGAATCACAAGGTAATCGAGAAACCACCTGTGAAAACAGCCAAGGAATCTCTGGTATCCGCCCTGGACTCGTTTTACAGTGACATAGCTCGCATAGAGAGCAGTGGGCCAGAGAAACCAGCTCAGAGACAAGACATCTTGGTAATGGAACCGTCTTCCTTGCCTATAGAGGAAACTAGCGTAGACGCGGAGCAAGATCTTGTTGAGCCTACGACGAAGGAGAAGAAGAGGAAAAAGGTAACATTTGAAGAACTTGATCAGAGGAAACGATTGGAGGAATAGCTATTTATTATTAATACGTGAGATCATAAATTACAAAAACTTTGATTACATTGCATTATAATTTCAGACGAGAGTTGGTATCAGCAAGAAGCATAAGGAGGTGTCCAGTATGGTAGCTAAATGGCAAAAGGTACAACAGAACTTTGAAAACACGTAAAGTAGAAATGGAAATGAGGAAATAGCGATCGACGAAAAGCAGGTAAGATATTTTATTTACTTCAAATACGTGAATTCTACCATTTGTATTAAAACGAAAATAAGTTTGAAACTGTTACATTCCAGATGCAAGCGTGTAACGTTTATAGTGCATTGCATTTCCGCCAGTATAGCGTTCTGGCCCTTGCAGTCACGTTGTTACGATTCCATGTTCCCCTTTTCTATTTAAAAAATCCCGTACGATTAATATAAATAATAGAATGTTCGGGACGTTTGCTGTAGAAACAGTTTATTACGCGTGCACAAACCACGAACCGTAGAAGAGAAACGTTGTCGCGAATCTACAGGCATTTAATTATTGTTCGCATTATTTTCTCGCGTAGTTAGAACGTTAATGTAAAAAGTTTAACGTAATTAATATGTTCCCATTGTTTGAAATCAGTGTGATGGTTTGACACCTTCCAAACGATGCAAATTTAGTAATTTAGTACTTTATTCATCGTTGGAATCGTGTAATCTTTTCTAAAAGCGACTGATGGAATTAAACGAATATTATTCGAACGCGAGACGATATAGAATGTATAAATCATTAACCAGAGACGATATTTAGATACTTCTGTGGGTAGTCGAATATTTTTTAAATAAACTACACGAGAGTATCGTCGTAAAACTTTCTTTGTAAGATTGTATGCGTTACCGAATTCAACTTTTGTAACGATGTGTAAATATACCATGACGAAATATATACTTGTAATTTAATTACTACTGACCTTTATGCATTTAGAGGAAATTCATTTTATAATATTTGCAGAGCAAAATTCCTATTCAAGTTCAATCTTTGTATTTATCTTTGTTTGCAAGCATTTTATTTTGTATAAAGATCCGCAGTTTATTAATTACTTATTAATTAGTATTTATTATTAACAAGTTATTAATTACGCATTGTGTATCAAAATTCAATTTCAAGTGTAGGAGAATTGGAATTCGAGAAACAGTTTTTTTTTTGTTTACATTTTCAGTTATTCTCCAATTCCAAAGTATCTGATAATATTTTCGCACCAATTGTTATTATACATTTAGGCTATCCTCTGCTAAGTTAGATAATCATCAAATTTGATGAAATATAAAAGTATAATGAATAATTTAAGTCCTTCTGAACGAGCAAACAAGCGTAAGGAAGAGAAAGAATTGCAAAGAAAAATTCAAGAAATGGATAATCCATGTCTAAAGGTATAGATTTAACGGCTTACTTTTTAAGGTTAGTTTTCGTTCATCTATAAATTACGGATGAAACATCGATTATGTATTGAATACAATTAAAAATATCATTCTTAATTCGATGGTTATCCATAAATGGAGGATTTATTAAATTAATCGTTGTACCTGTTACCTAACCTCAAAACTTTGTCAATGATGTTATAGGAATTTCTATTAAATTCATATGTAATTCTGATTTCAGGAACATTATTTAAGCCTAGACTGTCTCGAAAAGAACTATTACGTGCACAAGAAGTGTGTTCTATATTTTGAAAATTACAAGAATTGCAAAATCTTTTGGGTAATATATAATGCATTATATTAGATAGGAAGCATACACATTTTATTGATGTTTCAGAACAAGGTGAAGGTCGATCGTAAATTACATGGTATCACTCCACATCTTCCATTGCCAGAAGACAGAAGTAAAGTAAAAGCAGAATACCTGAAGTCGATGAACAAGTTGTAATACATCTCCTACATCTTTTTCCTTGGACATATCCAACCAGTGTATAGTTTGTGTTTGATTTTGCAGGAGTAAAAAATAACTTTAAAAGCAGTTGCAGTAAGTTTAACAATCTAGTTTTTGCAAACGAAGGATTTCTTGCAATACAAATATTATCAAAATCAACAAATTTGTGTGCATAAGGTCTTGTACTACATTTTCAGTACTGTCTATGGCTAGAAGTATAATCAAGGGAGTACAATTAGGAATAAGTTATGTCTAGGATTGAAAATGAATAAATGGAATGTAGATGAAGACTTGGTTTACACAAAGTCTTTTTAATATCTTTGGCAGAAATAAATGCTTGGAAAGTAGTATGATTACATTTACCACTGATAAAAGTTATACACAGTAAATTGAGGCATAATTACATCGGAACGAAATTACATATTTAAAGAATAAAGTTACACAGCAATTTAGTTAGAACGGATTACATAGGAATCGCTAAATGCTATTTGCACGGATATGGTGTAAATGTTTAAATCATTGACAAATTTCGATACTGAAAATCGCTACGCGTGAACTACACATTTTCACAAGGTTACGTATATGTACACGTACTAAACTTTACAAAAAATTTAGTTAATAAACCGAATTAATTCTATGAACATTCAATTGTTGTACTGTTACACGAATCAATAATGTAAAATGGACTAGCGAACTATCGAATATACGAATAATAAATTTATAGACTTTTGTAACGCAGAACTTTTATACGTGTAATCGCTAAAAATCTATGAAAATGCATGTTTACATCGTTTAATTTATTCTACATTGACTTACGTTATCGTAACAATTAAACTTAAAACTGAATTTCACTAGAATCTTAACGAAAAGATTCCAACTTTTATTCTTCCAACGTGGGACGCTTTAACGGCTATGTAGTATTTAATGTGCAGATACTAGCTACTAGATATACATTTACATAAACGCATTTTGGTAACATTTGGCCTGATGTTTTCTGGTCTCTCGCAAACCATCAAGTTCAGTCAATAAATAGTCCGTAAGAATTTAAAAAATAATTTAAATAATAGTTACCATCTACGTATCGTATATTACCTACTATTGTCATGAATAATATGCTTTCGATACAAAAGAAACATCAGCTCTGCGAAATTGATAAAGTAACTTACGAAAGGTGGGACAGCATTCTTTAGTTGTAAAAACATGTTGCGCAGGTAATCATTCGAATAAAATGTCTTCCCACGTTGAAGATCTAGCATCTGTACAATAATTCTGAGTATACAATAACGCGCATCCCATGTTTCCAAAGAAAAAAATATATATATATATATATTATATACATGGAATACTTTTCTCGCTGAACTATCAGTTTTTGGCCATTCGTTCAATAACATATCACGATAGAAACGCAAATTTCCATCACTTTCCACTGAATTGACAATCCTAACTTTGCCTACTTCGTAAGTTACTGACTTTCGAAATCTGTTACTACAATTTGATGCTGTCGTTGTTGTATCGATGATAAAGATCGACGCTAGGTCTCCGTTAAACGCAAAATAACACACATGCATTCTTACACAAAATAAATAATATCTCTTGCGTGTACCCGATCACACCGACGTACTCTTCCTCCATTAATCCGTATCAAAGTTCATTACTCTAAGTCGACTCGGCGTGAATGCGGCGCAGAAACCCGTAGATCTCGGTGATCCGAGATTTCTTGCGACGCGTACACGCGAATTCCGATGATTTCTACGAAGGAAATCGAGCAAGCATAGCGATTAAAACCACAGACGATACATGTTAAAAACGAAGAACGAAAATGCTCCTACCCACAGTCAGAGTATACGAACAGAACACAAAAAGACAACAAAGAAGTTAATGACTGTTCTGTTTTACGATTGCCCTAAACGCTCGTTAATTCTTTGGGCGCGACGAACGTTCGAGTCTTAGCACCTAAAGCATTAACTTACTCAAAGTACAAAAAACAAGCGTAACTTCTGCGACTACGTATCACAGCAATATGAGATTTAAATGATTTCGAACGGTTAAATAAGATCACTTAACAGGTACTTCTTTCTTGGATATGTGATCAGCGATGATTGTATGCAAGCGAATTAACTAGTTCGATCCATTGTCCCGTACTTGGAAGCTTCCTTTAAGTCCTGTTGCTATAATTCATTGTCAACGATAATTTCACGTCGAACCACCATTTCACGTCTTCCTTCTGTCTGCTCTGTACTCGTTGGTTCGTAACTATCTCCGACTCGATGATCTGTTCTTCGTTTTTAACACGTATCGTCGGCAAGTAGTCAATCGGAACGATCCTTGATACGGAATGTGTAGATACGGAAGTGACGACACATCTGACGCACCTGAAACCACGAGAAAATCACTTTATTAGCGGATATAAGTCGCTATAGTGATTGTGGATACCCAAAGAGTTCAATGTTTAACCATCATCACTGTATCGTAGAAATAGCTGGTAGCAAAATGCACTAGCAACTCGAGGAAGCTATTCTTAAAGAAACGTATCGAATATGGGTGGTCTTACCACACAAGTGCCATAATGAATATGCGCCAGCAACGCTACGATTGCGACGATGTACGTAAACACCAGATCTACGCTAGGCAAGATAAACGAGAAAGCTGCTGCGACTCCCACGGGCAGCAATATCCACGACAACAGCTCGCATCTCGTGTTGCTCATTTGCGACACGATCAACCGACACTACAAATGTATCATAAAATTAATCTACAGTTAACAGAACCTCTCACGTAAAGAATTAATTGTGTATAGACTGCGGATTTTTACGTATTACGAAAATTCATACTATAATTTTTGCAGGTACGTTTGCAAAGATTTTATTTTGCATAAAGATCCGCAATTTAACTATATATATATTTGTGTATCTTACGCATATGTTCGAGAAGATCGTTCCAACGGTCAAGAAAACAATCCGCGGATCTTTCTCCACGATATTGCTAGGCGAATGCACTACCCAAATCGTGGAGACTGTGAAAAGTATAGCCAAAGGCAAGAGAGGTCTGATGGCATCTGAAAACGTTCGCATTTTGCCAGTCTTGTCCCTATACGACCTGAAAATCAAACGAATTTATTAGTAAGAAATCGTACGAGATGTAAAATACTTGGATTTAATTGCACCAACGTGTATATATTCCAAAGAACCACGGGCAAACTGGCCACGATCGCGGTGATGTAGAGAATCAGCTCGAACATCACTCCTACCGATATCTGACCAGGTAGCATGAATTTCCAAGTCTTGTGTCCTCCTACACTCGATATAAGAAACACTATAATAGTACCCTAGAAATTTGAAATAATTTTACGAGTCATGAAAATAATCGATAACATTATAATTATATAAAAACGTAGCGGTAACTGTACCAAACACTTACCACCATAGACAAATCGTATCCCCAAGGAAGGAATAATACCCCGGTGTTATACTTTTCCCAATGAGTTAAATAGAAATTAATAAAGACACTCCAGAGTATGAAATACATCCTCAGCGGAGATACGCTGTGGTCTGTTCTGCCAAATACAGAGAACATGCAAACTGCAATGAGTATCGTCGTCCAACTATCCAGGCCGTGGTCAAACAATTCTCCCAAGGGACCAGACGTTTGCGTACGTCTCGCTTGCTTTCCATCGATGCCATCTAAAGGAGAGAATTATCAGATAGAAGTTTAGTTAAATTAACGAAAATCGTGGAGTATACTTTTCAAATTTTTTTTGCTTACCCAAAGTGTACGCCATGAAAACGTTGAATGCTCCCAGAGCGAAAACCCATCGCGGTATGGGAGGATATTGTGGTTTATCGTCGCTGGATGCGTACAGATAATAATCGTAACTGGCGAACATTATGAAGTTCAGGACAGTGAAGAGGAATCCAGAGAAAGTTAACAGGTTAGGGGCGACCCATTTTGGACAGTACTGAAAAAAAATTAAAATGAATGGAAAAAGTATAGATAATTAAAAAATACTTTTGAGAAACATACCTGGACTACTTTGTTCCAAAATGGATGCATGATGTACACGCTGAGAGGGCTTGTATCTATGGAGCTATACTGAAAACAAATATTCAAATTAGTTTCATGTAGGAGCATTGGTAAAGGTAATTTGATAGTTCAAAACAGTTTGGTCCTTGAACATAGGAACTAATTAATCCTACAGTGCGCATTGATGTGCATATGCATTACACTTAACATGTAACACTGGTACAGAAGGTGTTACAGTTGCATACAAGCCTTTGCACCCTTACGAATAAATGAAATGATTACGAATCTATCTCACAAAGTTCATTGAAGCTGTACATGGGAAGCTATTAGATTGGATAATTGGTAATGTGTAACCTTGGTGCAACACATAATCTTTGAAAAAACTAGGACTTACTCTGTAACTCTCGAAACCGGTGAGATGCTGTTCCGTGAGGTACTCGACCTCGAGGCCCAGCTTCTGATACATGGTGAATCTTAGGATGCGCCTTAACCGCTGTAAGAAACGTCGCTGGGGTGCGTCTGAGATTCGGCGTGTTTCACTTCATCGAGGTTCTTTCCTCCTGAAGTAAATGCAACGAAAGGTTAGAGCTGTGCACACGGAGAGATCGTATTCAAGCACACGTGCTCTCCTCTTTGAGCGATCGACTCGAGCCGTTGAGCGTCAATTCATGTAATTCATGGTGACACGAGACGAGCAAACAACGGCACCGCGAAAACGACACTTGAAGTCTCCGGTCGAAGGCCGATTCTCACATGTCAGGAACGAATTGGAACGAATGAAACGGCGTGGAATAGCCTGCGGAGGAAAAGCGATCGATTCTCCCTTGGCTCGTGAATCAAAAGGGGAGAAGAGCATGAATCACGTCTACATGTAATATTGATACCGCATTACTCGATTGGTGGCGTGTTGTACTCACGGATAATATCTCGTTAGATAATTGAACGAGGATATCATTGGCAGGGGTCAGAGTTGTCACGGGGTGACACGAGTCGAATGATGTAATGCACGCAAAGCATTCTTGCAGAAACGACGTTCTTGTGTACTATAAATTTGAATTGTTGTCAGTAATTTTATTATGCAATGAGTGCATAAGTAAAGGCCACCGCTCAGGGAGCGGCTCCGTGAGCGAGGTTTTTGGCGGATCAGAGTCCTACCTTACCGAAACCCTCTGTCTTTCATCGGAGGAAATCAAATATTTGTACTTTACCGAGCGTACAAGTCGACTTGTAACGACTTGTTACTGCTACCTCTAGATGGCGCCAATAAGTGACCGAACATGGGGAGGGTTTACCCATATTATATTTTAATGTAGACTAAAAGTTTTGATTGAATAACAATTTCTGGTATTTATTTTAAACGATCTCTCTTGCTTAATGGATTGACAGAAAGTGTGTTTAAATATTTGAAAGGCAAACAAAATTGAATTATGTTTCACAAAAGACAATCAAATGAATAACATCGAGTATCATCGAGTTAACAGTTAGTTCTTCTTATCGACGATGATGAGTGTGTTTTGAGTAGTTTTATTCATTGGCCGAAACCAATACAGTATTTTCTGGCTTCACGTCCAGTGTGTCCATCTCTGTCGCTTCCGAGCTCGGGTTTGTTTTGACAAGTTGAAAGCGATGAAGGATACGAGGAGGACTAGACACGGTGACCTCGGTCTCTCGTTCGTGAACCGATGCACTGCCGCTCTCGGCGAAAAAACGTATCGGGGGTTTTTGTCCGAAAATTGTCCACAATAGACGACACACTGCGGGACGGAAGGTACCGTACCCCTTGTCCATGATGGTGCGGGTCCTAAAGATTCCCCTGCGCGAAGGGTTGACGTTTTCAAGTGGACACCGAACGCGTTCGCGGCAAGCATTACAACAGTGGGACCCCAGCTTAAAAGTATACGAGTAGCGAGCGAAGATAGTCCAAAATGGCAAGCGTAAATCGAAGGTCTAAACACGCGTGGACCGAGGAGAAAACTCTCGAACTAATTGAGCTGTATAAAGAGCGGGAAGAATTATGGAATCCTCTGTCGCACCGGTACCATTTGAAGAATTTGAAATTGGACGGATGGTCCAAAGTTACACAGACACTGGAAGTTCCAG